TTTACTTTCTTACGAGTATTCAATTTGTTAAACTCTTCTAATCTAGAGTTTTAAAAGAGATTAAATTAGTATATAAGACAATAGTTGGAGGTTCTTATTTCTAAATTCTTTCTGATAAAACTATAACTTTCAGTCCAATATTATAACTAAATCAAAAGTAAATCTTTATATTAAAAGAGTAGTTTATGAAAACAAATTCCATGTAGGTATATTAGCATATAATCGTATGTGTAAGAATACCCAGCAATGGTTGCTTTCCCTCCCTTTTTTTGTTTATTATACATTTATATAATGTTTGTGTGTGTGTATGTGTGCACATGCCACAGCATGCATATGGAGGTTACAGGACAATTTGAGGGAGTCTGCTGTCTCTTTCCATCAGGTAGGATCTGGGATTGAACTCAGATCCTCTGACTTGGCAGCAAACACCTTTACCTGATGATCCATCTTGCCGACCCTCCTTTGAATTCTCAAAGAATATGATAAGTGGAAAATACAACATGCTGGAAAATGCTCTCATGGTCTACTATAATTCATTTCTAGCCTGTAGCTTTTCAATAGCTAAATTGATTATATTTAGAAAATATTATTTTTGATTTACTTTCTTAGTAAAAGAATGATTATGCCCTTTCAAAAATCAAAACAAAAAAGGACTAGGGATGTGGTTTATTTGGTAGCGTGCTTGCCCCTATGTTTTAAAGTCTATTTTATATAGGCTCATCTTTTAATATAAATGTTGCATATTTTTGTAGAGCTGGGGTCAAACCTGGGAACTTGAACACTGTAGGCAAGTGTTCTACTAGTGAGCTGTACTCCAAGCCCTAAAGATAAGTTTTTCATCTGGTGTGGCAATACCTGCCTTTAATCCAAGTGCTCAGGAGGCAGAGGCAGGAGGATCTTTGTGAAACTGAAGCCAGCCTGGTCTACATAGCAAGTTCTGGGCAAGATGGGGCTACAGGGAGATCCTGTTTCAAAACAAGTAAATTAAGTAAAGTAAAAATGAGTTTTGATGATGTTACAAGAAAGAAAATGGAAAGAAAAAATTTGGACTCTTTTTCTTTTTCTTTTCTTTTCAAAAATTTTCAAAACAGGTTCTTGCTATGTAGCCCAGGTTGGCCTTGAACTCAAGATCTTCCTGCCTCAGCCTCCTTAGTGATGCAATTATAAGCATGCACCGCCTTACCCAAAATTGAACTGGATTGGATTTTTAATGAAGTGTTAAGATTAGACTGGGACTATAGCTCAATGGGTAGAGTACTTGTCTACCACGCACAGAGCCCTGGGTTCCATCCCCAGCACTGCACAAACTCTGAGTGGTGGTGCATGCCTGTGATCCTAGCACTTTGCAGGTGGAGGCAGGAGGAGGATCAGAAAGTTAAAGCCATCCTTGGCTGCATAATGAGTCTAAGGCTAGCCTGGGTTACATGAGTAGAGAGAAACATGATGGAGAAGCCGTACGGCAGGGCCATGTTGGGGTGGCATGTTCCAGTGAAGACACATTCATACGGCTGGGAGTTGAACTGTGAGATCCACAATTGAATTTTGATTTGTGCTGGCCCGTACTGGATGGGTGTGAACTTGACAGTTACTTTTGCCTTCCCATTAGCTGGAATTATTCCTATAAGGAAAAAAGAGAAATGCAATTACATTAGCTACTGAAAAGCAACTGAAGGGAGGGAGGGCTTGCTATCGGGTCCACAATCTGAGTAAAGTTCATCATGGCTGAAGGAAGAGAAGGCTTGCCATCTGAGTAAAGTCCATTACAACCAAAGGGAGGGAGGGCTTGCCATTGGGACTCACAATCTGAGTAAAGTCCATCACAATTTAAAGGAGGGAGGGACTACCATCCAGGTTCATGACCTGAGAGTGGTCTATCATGGTGGAGAAATGATGCAGGAGGAACCTGGGGTAGCAGGTCACATTGCATCCACAGTCAGGAAGCAGAGAGAGACGAATGCTAGTGCTCAGCTCACATTCTTCTTGTGTTGCAGTCCAGGACCCCAGCCCATGGAGAGGTAGGTCTTCCTACCTCAGTTAACCTAATCTAGAGACTCCTTTTTCAGATATGCCCAGGGCTATGTTTCCATGGTGATTCTAAATTCCATCAAGTTGACAAACGCAGTGATACCAGTCTTCTCACCAAGTGCAGTTGAAGATGTGGATGCACACACTGTCCCACTTACCAGCACAAGCCCTAGCAGTTCTCTGTTCTCTCTATAAATAGACTCCTTCATTAAGTGCACACAATCAACTTTGGAATGTTGACATAAACCTTGTTTATCAAAGATTATGTTAATCCTTTCTAAAAATTATCTGAGTGTAGTTATATAAATATGAACAGATCCATCTGTATTAGTTGATCAAACATGAATTCCTAGGATGTTGACCCTCAGGTAAATGACCAGAACTCTTTCCTGAAAGACTGGAAAGCTAGGATCATGTGAGTTTGGTTTTGATGATTCAGTTTTCGGTGGTTTGCTCTAATCTGATTCTTTCTCCTCAAATCTTTTTGTTTCAGTGTTGGGTCTGAAGCCCAAGGCCTTGTCCACGCTAGGCAATTGCTGTACTACTGAGCCCCAGCCCCAGCCTTCTCCTTTAAATCTTGTAGATGAACTGGCATTCCTTCCAAAGGCAAACAGCATGCCTCATCATGTTTCCCCTGTTTTCTCTCTGGTGCTAGTAGGGCTCAGAATACTGAAGCTCTTACCAGAGTTCTCAGTGTCAGAATCTGTGCCCTGACAGCCCTAACAAGCCAGGTGAAGTCACCTATCCTCAATAAGCCAATTAAATAGTTAAATTAATAGTGAAAAATTTTAAAAGGAGATTTATTCAATGTGCCCACACTGGAAAGAACAAAGAGGTTCAATGACCCCCCAACCCCTGTCCGTCTATGGAGTCCTGACAGGAGGCTTAGCTTTAGATATAGGGTAAGAGGCATGCATAGCTAAGCAGTCCTGGTCTGGGTGTGGTTCTGCCCATCACTGACTCAACATTGTCTCAGTTCTGTTCTCTCCTGTAAGGTGGTTTTACAAGTTAACAGAACTGTGAAATCACCTCCTGGGTCCAACAGTGAGATTGTAAGCCCCAAGGCAGATGCCAGCTCCACAGCAAGTTTATTTTCCTGGACATCTCCTACAGTGCTTCAGATATAAGCAGTTAATGGTTGTCAGGGGAGGGAGAGACATTTCTTCAGTGGTATAGCCACTGGTAAGGTGCCATGCACAAATAGCCTCTCACTCATGTGCCTATAAGCAACACTAATGAAACTCACGGACAGACAGACAGACATACAAAAGTAGAAGGGGGACTAGTTAACTTATTAGGATGAGGAAGGGGATCAGTGGGGTGTGGTAGGGGAACAAAAGGTATTGGAGAGTAAATTTGATCAAAATATATTATATGCATATATGAAAATGTCATAATGAACTCATTATATATAAATAATATGGACTAATTAAAAAAATTTAAAGAGGGTCTGGGGAGATTAGATCAGTGGTAAAGTACACAAGCACGAGTTTGGATCCCCAGCACCCAGGTGAGTCTGCCCACATCTGTAACCCAGCGGTGAGAGGGACAGCAGAGACAGGTGGATTTCTGGAGCTTACTGGTCAGTCTAGAATAAAATAGTGAGTTCCAGGTTCAGTAAGAGACCCTGCCTCAAAAAGTAATTGAAGAAGACATCCCAATATCAACCTCTGGTCTCTACACATGCCTGCATGAACATGCACATGCGCGTGCACACACACACACACACACACACACACACACACACACACACTGGGTATTTGTTAATTCCATGTGTACAGAGCTCAAATTGTTAAATCACCCTCATTACTGTTCCTCAAGCCTAGGGCAAGGCAGAAAAAGTTGATAGAGACCATTGACTCAGCGGAAACCTTGGGTCTGCAGAGAACAGAAGTTCAACTCAGTAGAAACCCTGATTCACTACACTGATCAGCCACTTGGTCAGAAAATCAGCTGTAGGGCCCATGGTCCATTAGGGGCTTGAGCCTAAGAACATCCTGTTACTTCTGGTCTTCTCATCAACTTAAAAATATAAGAGCAGGTCTGGGCTGAAGTTACTGTTCGCCTTACCCTGGGTGATTTATTTTTAAGTGCTCCCAGCCCAGACCTACCACATGAAGTCTGCTGTGGAGATGTAGTCCAGGAAACCAGAGCAGACCATTTTTTCTGTTATCAGCAATGCCAGTTAGTGCAGCTCTGTCACCACAGCATGGTGGCAGAAGATATTCAGTGCTGACAGTTGGAAAATGTGTGTCAGGCTCTGACACAGGCTACTGTTTGGTCAAAACTCACATTGGTATGAAAGAGAGATATCCTGTGTCTTATAAGGAAGAGAGGTATTCCCAACATTTTAGAAAGCCCAACTATAGGCTGGGGATGTGGCTAGTTGGTAGAGTGCTTGCCTAACATGCACAAGACCTCAAGTTTGATCCGTAGCACTAGATAGACCAGGTGTGGTGGTGCATGCCTGTAACCCAACACTTGGGAGGTAGAGGCAGGGGATTCAGAAATTCAGGATTATCCTTGGCTAGATAGTGAGTTTGAGGAACGCTGCCTGAAAGCAAAAGGTCTAAACTCCCACCCTGGGGTCAGTGTCAGACCATCACCCTCAGCATAACCAGGAATAATTAACAATGTTAAATCACAGAGCAGGAAGCCACAGGAGTGATATAGGCTTGTTAGCCTAGCACTGAGGAGACTGAGGCAGGAGGATCTCCAGTTCCAGACCAGTCTGGTCTACCCCACTAAACCCTGTTTCAAATACACAAATATCAAAAGCTAAAGGCTAAGAAAGCCCTAGTTCATCAATATAAGCATTACGAAAAATGCCACAATGATAAACGAAATCACCACAGGAAAGACTGCCAGGCTTTTTCCCAGGTGACAATAATATAAATATACGTGGTCATATTTTTAAAAAGTAATATAGACATATACATTTAAATATGTAAATAAAGTAATAAAGATAGATGCATGGGTATATTTAAATGTGGAAATAATCTAATAGAAAACATAGGCATGGATAGTGACTAAAAGAACATCAAAAATAAAGCACACTATTGGTTAGGGCAGTAAGGCCCAGACTGGGCCTTGTAACAATCATTCTTTCTTGTGTGTCTATACCCTGTTATAGTTTTTTTAATTTTCAATCAGCATATAATTGTACAGATGTGATTTTTCCACATCTCACAATTCTATAAGGATGACTCAGGGTAGTTAGCACCTCAAACACTCATCATCTCTGTGGTAATAAAACATCCAACATCTCAGAGGGATGTGTGTGCACATACACAGGTGCATGTGAAGGTCAACACTGTCCTCTTGAGTCTCATCTCCACCTTATTTTTTCAAAATATTTTATTTATTATTTTTATCTTATGTGTATGAGTGTTTTGCCTGCATGTATGTAAGTGCATCACATGCGTGCAAAGCCTGCAGAGGCCAGAAGAGGGTGTCAGATCCCCTGGAACTGGAGTTATGGATGGTTGTTAGCTGCCATATGGGTTCTGGGAGTTGAACCTGGGTCCTCTGAAAGAGCAGCCAGTGCTCTTAACTGTGACCCTTCTCTTCAGCCCCTCCACCTCATTTTTTATGCAGGGTCTCTCACTGAACCTGAAGCTCACTGATTTGGCTAGGTTGTCTGGCCATTGAGAGCCAGAATCCTCCTGTCTCCCAGCACTAGGATTACAGGTGTAAGGCACCATGCCTGGCTTCTTACATGGGTGCTGAAAATAGAGCTCAGGGTCTCATGCTTGTGCAGCAACTCTTCACTGCCTGAGGCATCTCTTCAGCCCCTCTCTGAGTTATTTGGAAGTATATGATATTGACCTCAGTCATCCTACTGCACAACAGAACACAGAATTTATTCCCTTTAACTGTAACCTGTTGTTGAGCATCTCCACCTCCTGTCCCCAGCCTCTGTTAACCACTAGTATAGTCTCTACTTGCATGAGAGAATTTTAAAAATTGGGGGAGGGGATAGAGTCTTATGTATCCCAGACTGGCTCTGAACTTTCTTTGTAGCTAAGAATGACCATAAATTCCTGATCTTCTGATTCTACCTCCCAAGTGCTTGGATTACAGGTTTGCCCTAACATGCTGTGCTAGTTAGTTTTTGTCAACTTGATACAAACTAGAGACACTTGGGAAGAAGGAACCTCAAATGAAAAATTTCCTCCATAAGATTGACCTGTGGGCATGTCTGTGAGGCGTTTTCTTGATTGTTAATTGATGTAGGAGGGCTCAGTGCACTATGGGTGGTGCCATCCCTAGGCAGGTGGGCCTGGGCTGTACAAGAAAGACAGCTGAGTAAGCCAGGGGTAAGCAAGCAGTAAATAGCATTCCTCCTCTGCTTCAGTTCCTGCCTCCAGGTTCCTGCGTCCAGGTTCCTGCTCTGACTTCTTTTAGTGATGAACTGTGACCTGTGAATTGTAAGATAAAAGAAATCCTTTCTTTTCTCTGGTTACTTTTGGTAAGTATTTTGTCAAAGCAACAGAGAAGAAAACTAGAGCAACATGCCCAGTTTATGCCGTGCTGGGGATGGAACCCAGAACATCTTACATAGTAAGCAAACACTACCAATTTAGCTACATCCCAGCTCCAAGAAGTCAAATTTTTTAGATTCTACACATAACTGAGGTCATCAATATTGTCACAATTTTTAAACAACTTTTTTTCCAAACATCTCAGAAAGTTCAGATTCTTCTCCATGAATTGTCTTAGAGTCATCTAATGCTCATGCTTGAAGCGTTAGCAAGGATAACTTTTAACCTTCTAAGATTTAGGGTTTCACAAACTGTGGGATTTGGGGTAAACTAATCCTGCAAGATTCAGTTCACAGCTACATTGTTTAAAAGTTATTTACCACTGAACTGTTGATAAATTCTAGCTCTACCTTTAATTCACCAGGTTACAGAGGGAGTGTGCCAAGAAGGCAGGGCATCCCTCTGTTTACAATGCTGAGTCACAGGTCACCTCTGCTGCGGGGTCTGGGGCAAGAGATGAGCTTCAAGACCCCCTGGAGCCCTGGTTCACAACTTTGCCTTGGTCAGTCAGGAACTCTGTACCCTATCTGAGGCTCAGTTTTTCTCATCTATCAAATGGGACAAAGCTTAAAGGATAAAATGATCTCCGAGTTCTGGGATTAATACTTGGTGCATAGCATATATCCTAAGACCATGACCTTCCAAGTCTTTATGTCACATAAGTATATGATCATTTATGGTAGACTCAGTTATCACTGAACTGTCAGGAAAAGGAAATATTTCTTGGAGAAATTTATATTTGGCCTGTTGGAGTTATTTCTTTTTCCCCATTTCTTTGTGTGTGTGTGTGTGTGTGTGTGTGTGTGTGTGTGTGTCCATGTTTTCTAAGTATGATGGCTAATATTCATTGCCAACTTGACTATAGTTACTATGGAAATACAACTCTGGGTGTATGTATAAGGGTGTTTCCAGAAAGGTGTGAGTGAGGAGAGAAGACCTACCCTAAATGTGGGCAGCACTTTTCCATGGGCTGGGGTCCTGGACTGAATAAAAAGTACAGAGTGAGCTGAACACCGACGAGCATTCATTTCTCTATGCTTTCTGACTGTGGATACAATATAACCAGCTGCCTAACACTCCTGCCACCATGCCTTCCCTAACATGATGGACTGACCCTCAAACTGTGAGCCAGAATTAGCCCTTCCTTGAGTTGATTTTGTCAGGTATTTGGTCACAGCAACAAAGAAAGAAACTAATATATCAAGTCGGGCCTTTGACCTGAGAACTGTTTGGAAATCTGGGATTTGAAGTCATACCTGTCCTCACCTGAATTGGGCTCAATTATAAAGGCCTGGTGAGACTGAAGCAAAGTGATGTGAAATTCAAAATCCACAGGACAGCTGCACTCCAAGGGAATCACATAGCTTTTGCTGTAAAACAAACAGAATAAGAAAATAGAATGCATTATTTTTCTTCTTAACCCTTGGTAGAAAGGAACAGAGAGAGACTCAAGTTGTGTAACAGCAGTAATGGGCAGCCAGCATCAACCTAGCTGATCATCTCCTGGTAACAAAAAGGTTTGTTTTGAGCAGGCTCTCATGTAGGCCCCGCTGGCATCAAGCTTGGTATGTAGCCAAATGTCTTAAGTTCATTTCCTGTTGCTGTGATAAAATACCCTGAAAAAAGCAACTTAAGGAAGAAAGGGTTTATTCAGTTCACAATTCTAGGTTACAGTCCATCATTGTGGGGATGTCAAGATGGCAGGGGCTTGAAGCAGCACATCTATAGTCCAGAGCAGAGAACAAGGAATGAATGCATGCATGCTTGTGCTCAACTTTCTTTCTCTGGTTTTATATAGTTCAGGAACCCCTGCCCAGGGACTGATGCTACCCACAGTAGACAAGTGTTCCCACTTCAGTTAACATAAGACAGTAGTCTCCCACAGACATGCCCTCAAGCCAACCTGATCTAGACAATCTCTCCTTGAGACTCTCCTCCCAGGTGATCCTAGATACGGTCAAGTCAACAACTAAAAACAACCATCACACCAAGGATGACCTTCTTTCTGATCTTCCTGCCTTTACCTCTTCAGTGCTGGGATTACAGGTGTGCAACACCACACCCAATTTATGCAGTGCTGGTGATGAAATCCACAGCTTCATGCATGCCAGGCAAACTCTCTACCAACTGAGATAAAGCCCTGGCCCCAGTTGCCTTTTTGTGTCTGGTTCATTCCAGTCAGCACAAGGTCCTCAAGACTCATTCACGATGTAGCCATGTGTCAGAACTCCCTTTTTTGTTTAGGTTGAACAGCATCTCATGCTATGTATAACCACATTTTGTTTATTCATTCACTGGTTTGTCTGTCTGTCTGTTTGTTGAGACAAGGTATCATGTAGCCGACACTACAGTTACTTGCTGAATTGAGGCAAGTCTACCACATAGCCTCTTCATTCCCTCTGTACCTTGGGAAAACAAGGAAACACTGAACAGACAGGCTTCTAGAAGGCCTGAGAAGCCCCCAGTCTTCATAGAACCTAGGACTGGAGAGTGGTAAAGAAATCACACCTTGGATGGTATGGGATTGAGATATGCTAGAGATGATGTTTAAACTGAGGTCTGGCATCCAGGAGAAATCCCAGAGAGAATGCTTTGTCACCAAAGACAACCAACCTTCTGCACCACAGGAATGTTGGGGGGGGGAGCAGAGGTAGTATTTCTCAGAAAGACCCATGTTCCCATAATTTTCCATTCCACCAGGGCGAGCCCAGGTCAGCTGTGTTTGCAGGGTAGGTGAGGTCAGAGGAGGCATGATATCTCGGAGCTACTTGGTCTCTTACATAGCACTTGAGCCATGTTACCTGGTCCTCTTTCAGCAGTAACTTGTGAAGCTCCTTCAAGAGATGGAGCTACTCTCTGTGTCCTTGCTTCTGTGTGCATGTGCTCATGTGCACACAGGTTCATTACTTGGGAATTAGTCATCTGATTTTTTTCGAGGCAGGGTCTGTTTCTCATTTTAACCTTGATCTCACCAATTAGGCTAGGCTGGCTGGCCAGTCAGTCCCAGGAAGCCACCTGTCTCTGCCTCCTTAGTGCTGGGATTACAAGTGTGCAATGCCACAGCTGGCTTTTTTATGTGGGTTCTGGGGATTGAACTCAGGTCCTCAAACTTGCCTGGCAAGCACTTTACCCACTGAGTTGTCTCCCGAGCCCACCTGCTTCTCTTTGCACCTCCTTCTTTCTCCTTCAGGCACCAGCTGACTTCTTCTTCAACTCTGTGTCTTGTCTACCCTGTAACTCCCGAGTCCTCATGCCTGTCCATTGGTTGGTCCCTACCTCTTCACCTTTCGGATAGTGGCTGCCCTGCCACCTGCCCAGCCCCTCACATGTTCTTGTTCATATTCTTGAGAAAGCACTGTAATTGCTGTGAGCAGAGCTATCAGGTCATAGGGAATATGCCTTTTTGAGAGGTACCCACCTGGCCTACCTATCTGTGGAGTTCACCACCACACATCTGGCCTCACCTGTAAGCACTGGATTTCCCTGAATACTGAGTCTTATGAAGGCAGAGTCTGAGTATGCCTGGGAACTCTGAAGTTATCCCAGATATATACACCTATACACTAAATGCTCAACACATATTTATTTTTCAGTAGCCAATTGGGAGATTGTCAATGTGGCTTTTTAAGTTATGCCTAAAGCATAATTTTCAAATGTATTATCTTTTAATATTCTTGGATATTTCAAATATGAAAACAAATATTTTTTAAAAAATTAAGATTTCTTTATTCATTACTAAGATATATCAAATATTTTCAAAGAAATAAAACATTACAAACTGATGCGTCTTGCTTACCTTCATTCTTTCCTTTGTATCACTACCTAACATTTCTATGTAGTGAATATCATTACATATCATGGTGAGGAAAGCATGGAGTGAAGCAGCTGCTCACATCGCATCTGCAGTCAAGAAGCAGAGAGAGATGAATGCCAGTGCCCAGCTTGCTCAGTTTTATTCAGTCTAGGATCCCAGCCGTTGGGATGGTGCTGCACACATTCAGGGTGGGTCTTCCTTGCTCAGTTAAATCTCTCTGGAAACACCCTCACAGGAACACCCATGTATATATTCTAGGTGGCACCAAATCTAGTAAAACTGGCAGTGTACCCATGAACTCTCAACAGCTGTGGTTGCCTTCATAAGACCTGAAGAAGTTCAAATCAGTGAACACTCCAGCATGGACAGGTGGAGAACTCACAGACCAACTCCTGGGGGATGGAGAGTCTTCTTCAGGGTCGTGGTCCCTGGTAGGTCATTCATACTCCCATGGTCAGCACTATACCCATGTGCACAGAGGCAACACAAATTGGATTCAGTATGTTATATATTTTTAAAACCAGAAGAGAGACTGAGTGTGGTGGCACATGCTTTTAATCCCAGCACTCAGAAGGCAGAGACAGGCAGATCTCTGTGAGACTGAGGCCAATCTGGTCTACATAGTGAGTTCCAGGTCAGCTGGGGCTACGGAAGGACGCTGTCTCAATACACACACACACACACACACACACACACACACACACACACACACCCGACATAAAAAAAAAAGGAGGAACAAGAGAGGGGGCCCCAGAGAGGGCTGGAGTAGGGGGGAGAATTAAATGAGGTAGCCCATTTAACGACTATTGTCTACTATGTAGGCAATCACTAAATAAACATGACCACATGCGCGCGCGCGCACACACACACACACACACACACACACACACACACACGACATGAAAGTAAAAGGAGCAGCAGGAGAGGGGGACCCAGAAAGGGTTGGAGTAAGGTGGGAGGTAATATGGTCAAAATGCATTGTATTTGTGTATGAAATTCTTTAAAGAATAAAAAAGATTAACCATCACATTGGGGTGCCCACCAAGCAGCTACTTTAGAACTATTGTGCTCTCAGGCAGCTTGGCTCCCCTCGGCATTATACATTGGCTGTCATTATCCACTTGCCTCTGTCCCCAACTGGACATGAAGCCCCAAGCCCAGGCCAGCAGAGTTTTCTGGCTTTCTTTCATTGGATTCGGAGGAAAAGAACCTCCCCTTCACTTCAAGTCAAGGCTAGGTGTTGATCCCTGGAATCAGTAGACACCGGATGAGCTACAGTCTCAGTGACTGCTGCAGCCTGAGATCCTGGGACTTGGGATTCCTTGCTGTTTTGCACTTGTTTCGCTTTATACCACCTCACTTCCGAGCCTGTGCGGTTCCCTCTGATGCTCTTTTATGTTGTACTTGTCATTGGCAGGGGTCTGGAATACAAGAGGTGCTGGGCATGGTATACTCTCTGCTCCATTTGTGTGTGTGTGTGTGTGTGTGTGTGTGTGTGTGTGTGATGTTTGTGTGGTTGTGTACCCGTATGTATTTCTACATGCATGTCTGTGTGTGCATGTGTGGTGTCCAGAGGTTCACATCTGGTGTTTTCCTCTATTGTGTTCACGTTATTTTTTGAGGCAGGGTCTCTTTATTAAGTCTGGAGCAAGTCAATTCAGTTAAACTCTCTAGCCAAAGAACACCTCTCCGCCTTCCCAGTTGTGGGGATTACAGATGTATAGTGCCATGCCTAGCTTTTTATATGCATGCTGGGAATCTGAATTCAGGTCCTTATGCTTGCCCAGTAAGCACTGCACAGACTGAGGCTTCTCCAAGCCCCTCTTGGCTCTGCCTTTACCAGATGCCTCTAATGACTTTGAAGAGACCTGTGCTCCGCCTGCAGATTACCTGATGCCTACCAGGCAATGCCCTGCTTCTAGTTAATTCCAACTGCTATTTATTTCTATTTCTTTGATGTTTGCTTAGTTTTTGTTTTGAGTCAGGGTCTCATGCAGACCAAGCTGTCCTCAAGCTCCCTATGTAGCTGAGGATGACCTTGAACTATTGATCCTCTTGCCTCTACCTCCTGAGTGCTGGGATGACAGTTGTGTACCACCAGGCCTTGCTTATGAGGTGCTGGAGGTGGAACCTGGGACTTTGTGCATACTAGGCAAGCACTCTTCCAACTGAGCTACATCCTCAGCCCTCCACTGCTATTTATTATATAATATTAACCCTTAGCTGTGATGGTCTGTGAGGCCAGCGCAGTGATGCTGTGAGTATACAAGCCCAGCAGGGGACAGGATTGCCCCAGGCTTCTAGCAATCATGTCCCTGTGACCCACATTTCTGATATAAATCCTGGTTGTTTTGTTTTTGTTTTCCTTTTGAGACAGGGTCTGCCTATAGCCTCAGGTGGCCTAGAACTTGCTATGTAGGCCAGGCTGGCCTCCATGGCACAGAGATCGGCCTGCCCCTAAGTACTGGGATTAAAGGTGTGCACCACCATGCCCAGCTGTGATATACATCTTGGATAGAAGTAACATGGAGTCTTTTCCTCAGCTTGTAGTGAGAG